CTAGAGAGGAAGAGGGAGGGGGAGGGAGAGTCCAGAGAGATGGACAAGAAAGGAGAGGGTGGGGGGGGGTTGAGTCTAGAGGGAGGGACGAAGGAGGGGGATTATGACGCAATGGAGGGAAGACAGAAAGGGGGGAGTGAATGAAAAAAGAGTAGTATGTGTGTGAGGGTGGGGGGAGGATGTTGTCATGCTAGAGAGAGATGGATAGATAGATAGATAGATAGATAGATAGAGAGAGAGAGAGAGAGAGAGAGAGAGAGAGAGAGAGAGAGAGAGAAAGAGAGAGACACGCGGGGTGGGTAGGGGGAGGCAGGAAGGTGGTCGGTCCCTCGTTCACGCTGCCATCGAATCGAAAACCACTTGCCTCCTAGGCCTAACCGAACGCCTGGGGAGAGGAAGACTGGATGGACACACCTCACTCCCAGTCACACGACCACAGGGGGGAGAGAACTTTACTGGACAGAGACGGGCCGGCCACCACAGTAGGGGATGACGTGAAAACAACAACAACGTGGTTTGGAGTTGGAGGCCGATAACAGGACGGACTAGATCTCGACCCTCACCATAACCGTTACTCACAGCACTGCACTACAGAGCACAACAGCACTGTATGCTTACTTAAAGGATCTGAAGGACTGTAGCCCTAACCTTAACTGTTACTCACAGCACAGCAATCACAGCACTACTACACAGGAGGACGAAAGCACGGTACTGTATGCTGAGTTAAAGGATCTGAAGGACTACCCTAACCTTAACTGTTACTCACAGCACTACTACACAGGAGGAGAAAAGCACTGTACTGTATGCTGACTTTTTTACCTGAGGACGGACTACCCTAACAACCCTAACCGTTACTCACAGTCAGGCTGTCAGCACAGCACTGAACTACTCCGGACAAAAGCACCCACTGTAAGTTGACTGATGGTGATGCTGCTAGAGGGACCTTGTTGACGTTGACAATTGACACCTTTGGAGCCTTGCTGTACGTGCTGAGATAATCGTCTGGAACAAAGAGACAGGTTCCACTTTCACCATCTTCATAAGACCATCATCATACCCTTTGTGTGTGTGCGGGCTAGTAAAAGAACGCCAGCGTGGCGGGTTCACGGGATTACCCCAGCGAAAGTCTTTGGCTTTGGCTTTGGTATTACCGGCCAGGTGGTGAGTAGTTCTTTACTTTTCTGGGCTCTCAATTAGAAATTCAAATAATAAACGAAGTGTATACAGACCCGGTAACCGGGAACAAAGTCACGAAGTATACAGACCCGGTAGGGGAACTCCTGTGATTTCGGAAAGTTTCAGCACCCAGACCCGATAGTGTGTGCGTGTGTGTGTGAGTGTGTGTGTGTGTGTGTGTGTGTGTGTGTGTGTGTGTGTGTGTGTGTGTGTGTGTGTGTGTGTGTGTGCGCG